TAATATTTTTGTGCAAACCGTTATATATTTTGTTTTTCAGGATTCTTGGATTAAATATAGAGTTCAAAAGAACAGCATTTATTTGAAATCTAAGAGCCAGTTTTACTAAATTCCAAATTTTAAAACAGTGCCGATGGGTGTGGAAATTTCTGCGGGTGATTTACTAACAATGCACAAATTAAAGAACACAGACGCAACATCTCATTTACATATTGACCAACGCAATATACCAAGCGCAGCCCAAATGAGCATAGTTACAAATTAAGAATAAAAAAATAAAGAAGCCACAGTATGTCGAAAAGAACCGGAGGCCAGAAAATGAAGGGTTGCAAGAGGTTTTGATAGAGCTGGTATTGCGTGACTCCTAGTTGAGGATTTCAAGTCGTCTTTTATTTCCTGAAGCAAATTAAAAATAATATGGCTTGGCAAACGATATGTTCGGATAATGTGTTCCTCTGGCATTCCAAATAAATTTATACGTGTGGGAAAAAATCCTCTCCCTTCTACCACACGCTCTGTTCTCTGCGGGGCCTCCTCCTAGCAACAACAATTGCAGCCATTTCAAGAGCAAAATAGTTTAAGACATACGTTTTTGGGCATTAAATAATGGCACAAATACCAATAATTTGACATGCGCAAACGTTTTTTTTTGTGTCTGAAAGGGAAACTCCTGCAAATGCATATTCAATAAGGTCAGGCACAAAAATAACTGTGTCCATGCCTTTTCAGTGCTAATTTTTCACTGTGTGTCTTTAGTAAATCCTGACAGTTCTATTTTAATGCCAAAAGATGGTTTGTTAGTAAAACTGGCCCTAAATCTTGTGTAACATTGTAAATGTCTTTACTGTCACTTTTGATCAATTTAATGCATTCTTGCTGAATAAAAGTATTAATTTCTTTAAAAAATCATACATGCTGACCCCAAACATTTGAATGGTGGTGTATAAACGGAAACATTATGCAATATATAATTTAACATGATGGCAAAATGAAGCATTGGGTTAACAAGAATATACAAATTCATATGAATTAGCCATTAAATTCACTAACACGTAAAATATTTAGAAATTGCCATAAGATTGTGTTGAACAGAACATGCATATATTCTAATAAATCAATGTTTTAAATCAATAACCGAGTCACTCACATATCTGCATTATATCATATCATGTAAGTACACAAACAAACAAAACCAATATCCAGTTTGAATATTAACTAACGCTTGGTACATATCACAGCATGCTTGCTTTGCATTACAGGCAATCATCAACATGAATGTGAACATGAAAACACAAAAACATGAAGCATAAGTGAAGAAAAGGCCTCTTTCACTCATACAACGACCACATGCAAACATAACCAGATTTCTCTAACATAAATGGGGGAAAATGAGCACAAACTAACAACCTATGTGGTGTTTAAAGTGCTTGGCCAAGTTGTGTTTTGAATGAATCTTAAACCACCTCCTGAGATGGCTGTATTGCAATATGTCTCGAATGCATTTGAGGACATTTATACTTATATCTTTTCATGACGGGATTGCAGTTGCATTTTATATGAAAACATATCACTAAATGTATGTGTTTTGAAATCTACAGTGTCCATATAACACGCATGGAGTCACAGTTTTAAAGGTAAACATAAAACCATGTCTGCATTTGTGATCGGAGAAATGACAAACAACAAGCCCTACTCTACACTGCCCAAAAAACTCGCTTTAAATATAAAAAATATAAAATATAAAAACTCTTTAAATATAAAAAAACGTACTTACAAGTCTGTGAGTCAGAACAGCCGGCATTGTAGCCTACTCTCCCAGGATCACGGCGCAAAGTTGATGTATTCCCTCAGCGACCAGCACGGCTCAGCTCCAGGCATGACGAAGCCATCCTTTGGAAGGCCAAACAAAGTAGTTTCGCTTTCACAACGAAACACACAGCGCCTTCACGACATGGCGGCGGCAACAACAATACTACAGCGAGAATAAAAGTTATGCCTTCTTTCTTTGCGTGAACATTTGTGCGGCGTTATGCAAATCTTCCCACATCGTGATGTAGACATGTGGGGGCGTGTTAGAACGAGCCGTTTTAGGTAGGCGTGGCTGACTCTTAACTTTTATAAAGAATATCTCTTTGCATTTGAGACTTTAGTCTTTGCAACTTTAACGATCTTCTTTATGCACCATGAGCTTGTAACACTCCAAAGAGAAAAGAAAAATTTTTATAAAGAATATCTCTTTGGATTTGAGACTGTAGTCTTTGCAACTTTACAGATCTTCTTTATGCACCAAGAGCTTGTAACACTCCAAAGAGAAAGGAAAAATTGAAATCGCATCATATGACCCCTTTAAGAATGAACAGTTGATTTCCCTCAACTGTAAACCGGTAACGTCAAGAAGTGTGAAACCCAGCACAGTCCCTTATCTCCCAGTAAAACCTGCATTTGTTTTTGCAATTTACCTCAGCCGTGACATTTTGACCCCATTCTCAGACGTCTCCTCGGCCCTACAGTCCGCACAACTAACATAACTGAAGTGGAACAGCCGCTCAGGGGACCTGCTTCAAGTGTGTGTGCTGACAAATACCTGTTTAAGAGGTTTTCATCCATTTCTCAAATGTGAATTGTAGGATCCTGACCAGAGTTGCGTATAACGTGTTACACAGTAACGTTACTGTATTCTAATTACTTTTCCTGATAACGCAGTAATGTAATGTGTTACATTTTAAATGTATGTAATTTAAATGTAATTTGAATACAGTTGCTAATGTCAATAAAATTATGTTACTTAAGTTACAAATGCAGTGTTAAGAAAAAAAAATTATGTTTTGCGCATCAGTGTGACCTTTAATAAATCACCGGAGAATGCACAGCTAAAATGCAGATGAGATGTACAACATTTAGATGCAATGAAAGGTTGCCTATTATATTTCAAAATGTTGCACTCGATTTCACATATTTTAGTCTGGTATTATAGTTTGGGAAAAAAGTTCAACTAGTAAATGTGTAAATTTATATCACATAACACTAATATAACCTAAATAAAAATAAATGACTCATCAGAATAAGATCCTCCGCTGGATTAAGCCGCGCGTCACATCGCGTTCTTCCGAGGTAAATACAAGGCTTATTCTCACACAACGTCTTCTTCCAAAAATGAAAAGTAGCCTAGATGAACTTGATAAATCTTTTATCTTTATCTTTAATGCTTTGTTTACAGAGGTGATGTGGGCGTTTACATGTTCGCGTTTCTCGCTTGGATGATTATCGCATAGAGCGCGATGCACACGGGTGTGACCACATTATAAATGAGCTCAGACGGGAAAGACCGTACCTCCCGTTGGTTTCATACGGATTACTTTACCAGAGAATGTATTTTCAACATGACTTACTTCATTCAAAAATATACACTTAAAGCTTTAGATATATTTCTCATGTATGTGTGTAAAGTAGGGCTGCACGATAAATCGCATTCGATATTTAACGCGCATCTTATCAGTAAAGCCAGTTCTGTAATCAGCGGTAAATCTCAATCACGTGCGTGCTTTCACATTGAGCAGCATTAACTACACAGAGCCGTTGTTCACTGACGAGCTGCGCAAAACCACTTTCATATTCGCACGATTTTTTGTGCAGCTCGTCAGTGAACAACGGCTCTGTGTAGTTAATGCTGCTCAATGTGAAAGCACGCATGTGATGGAGATTTACCGCTGATTACAGAACCGGCTTTCTGACAAGATGCGCGTTAAATATCGCATGCGATATTACAGCTTTACAGCCCTAGTGTAAAGTATTCATTGAGTTTTCATTTTAGTCACGTATTTCAGAAAGATATTTGCGGAGACTAAGACTACAGAAATGTATAATCATGTAATGTAATCAACTACAATGATGCAATCAAATTACAATTTTAAAGAAGTAGTGGATTACTTTAAGTAACTTACCCAACACTGATCCCGACGAATCAACAAGCAGATTCTGGAAATATGCTAATGGAAGGTTTGTGTTGGGTCTGATTTCAAGGCATCATGCACATTGCTCAAATCTGCAATGCTCAGAAATCTGCAGTTTCATAAATGTGGCATTAGGACTCAATTTTAAGTGGATTCAGGCCCCTCAGACATAGATTAAATGAACTGCATGATATTATGGGGTGCTGAGGTCATTGACTATTAATTAAGCGGTTAATGTGCAATGATCTTGGCATGCTACTGTACCTCAGATCCACAGTGCTTCCTACAAGGCTTTATATGCTACACAAGATGAATGACAAAAAAACACCTGTATTGACACATAATCTCATTATGTCGGCCCCTGAGTTCACTGATCAATAACAATAAATCATTCAAAAGAACATAACATGAAACTCTTTTACTTTAAGCTCCCCAGATAAGGGTTGCAATTTTGAGATCTTAAATTTGTTACACTGAAGTGCGCAATCTGTTGGTCAATCAATACTATTGATTCGTACGAGTCCAACAGACAAGGTCAGAATGCTTGACAGTTAAAATGTTCCAGAGCTTGATGCAACTAATTTCTTGTTTAAAATCTTAGGGCTCTACAGCCAGTGACAATATAAAAGTGTAGCAGTGTCATCTATAGTGATACCTTCAAATGCACTCTGCTTTTAGAAGTGAAAACCAAGGTTGGAGCTGTGGCTTAGTAGTTAGTGCTCTGGTGTTCATCTCAGAAATCTAGGTTTGAATCTGGCCTGTGTTGTATTCTGATTCCTTTCTCCACAATAATTTCTGCTGTCAACAGTAAGTTTGAAATGAAAAACTGAACTGTTAGATAAGAAATAACAGCACAAGATGAAGGTCTGTGATCATAATTCAAGCTGGGCAACTTTTTATTCCTGTGAAGACACAGATTTGAGACGTTGCCTCGTCTTTTGAAGCCTGCATAGCTCTGGCACTTCTTTCTGGCGGTGCATTTCCACAGTAATGGAATAAACTGTCAAGAAGAAACAGCAGATTTCAAATTTGGAAGAACATCCGAGCAAAACGGTTTATGAACCAATTGTCTGAAATCTGAGTGCTGCTGGACGATCTCAATTGGCACTTCGCTGCACCTCTGTGGATGGAATGAAAAGCAGAAATGGAAAATCTGTCATCATTTACACACCATCATGTCGTTCCAAACCTGTATGACTTTATTTCTTCTGCGGAACACAAAAGGAGAAACTCTGAAGACAAAACGAACCATAAATTATCATAAAATCATAAAAGTAGTCAAATACAACCCAACTTCCCTAGAGTATCCTGTTAACAGCTGTGATTGGATCAGTGAGTCAAATTTGATTCAGTGAGTCAAACTGAGTCATTTGGAGAACTGGATCAGCTGGATTAGTGAATGAATCATTTAGACAATTTTGTGAACTGGATCAAGTGATTCAATTGACTCAAAAAAAATTACTTTTAAAAGGTTTGGTTCATTCCTCACAAAAAGCTATAAGTTTCAGAAGACTTGGAACAACATGAGAGTGAGTAAATGATAACAGAATTGTAATTTTTGGGAGAACTGTCTCTTTAAAAAAGTTCATTAGGTTAGGCAGATGGCACCAGTTGGCACATCAATCTGTTTTATGGTAGAGCAATAGGACGAACAGGTGCAGATGAATGAATAAAACTTCTCTGAATCTTCTAAGGTGAAAAAGAATGAGAAGTTGAAGAGATTAATCTAAACTAATGAGATCACCAGACTCCAAAAATCATTAATTCAACGACATCCTCCCTAAACGGCTGTTAGTAATTTTCACAGAGAATGAAAGGTTCAACTGAGGTGATTCTGGGTAGGGCTGAATTTCATCTCACTATATGTAAATTCCTTCTTAATCCATGACGGCTTATCCGAAGCAATGAGGTCAGTGACTTTGCATCCCGTGTGAAGATTTCCACCATAAAAGCTGACCCGTAGAGAGAATCAACATTATATCTCAGGTTCCTACTGTTGTTATGGGCTCATTAAGCAACTTTAAGGCAAGGGAAAAGACGTCTACTCTGAATCTGTTGGGGGGATTTTGAATAACAGACTCCTGCCTCTGTTACCTGCGGTGATACGGCAGGTGTGGATAACTGATTATAAGACAGGCATTTCACAATAGCAAGCTCAGCAAAGAGGAGAGAGACATCCTGCTATGTACTTTTGATCATCTTGGGACGGCCTAGTGAGCATAATGGGAACAGTAGCACATTGCTTCAGGCGCAGTATCGCAGTGGGAGAGACGGGATATGAAGGAGACCGGAACCTGGAGTGCGTTTCTGCATTTTTACTGTTAAGACAGTATCTTACTGAATTCTTCGGTTCGTCTGAGGTCAACTGGGTTGTGCAGTGTTGGCTTAGCGAGCTCCAAACTTTGAGCTGGATTCAAAAGGTAAAATTTGAGTTAAAGGTCATGTGTTTTTATGTTAAAAAAAGTACTTTCTCCTATTCCAGCTTAATATGCTGGGACAACTAAAAAGTTATTTAAATGTTCATTGACCCCCTCAAAAAAAAACTCTGACTTTGTTATGTTTATAAAACATTGCTCTGTTTGTTTGAGCTTCCTGGGGCCTGTACCATGATGGTGGCTGAACAAACTCAGGGTTACAGGATTAGTTTTGAGTTGACAAAACCAAACCAGTCCAATCCGGCTTTGTTGCCATGAAGCTGATCATCAACTTTCTCTGTCAACTCAGGCTTGATCCTGAGTTAATGAAGCACGTGCACATGAAAGAGTGACATCAGTAATGAACAGCCAATCACATGCCTTGAAACTGTGATTCACT